CTTTTTTAATCCGGGGTCGCCACAGCAGAATGAACCGCCAACTTATCCAGCAAGTTATTATGCAGCAGATGCCCTTCCAGCCGCAACCCATCTCTGGGAAACATCCACACACACATTTACACACACACTCATACACTACGGACAATTTAGCCTATACCCAATTCACCTGTACCGCATGTCTTTGGACTGTTTGGACAGCACCCAGAGGAAACCCACACGAATGCAGGGAGAACATGCAAACTCCACACAGAAACGCCAACTGAGCCGAGCATCGAACCAGCGACCTTCTTGCTGTGAGGCGGCAGCACTACCTACTGCGCCACTACTTCGCCTTGTTTTTTACACATGTATAATGTATTTTAAGAAATAATGTATGTAATGAGATTTTTAATGTCAGGTTAAGAACTTCAGCTTCTCCACAGCATGAAAGGTCATGTGTGATTTACACTCTTGCCATGCACGCTCTAAATCTTCATCGCTGCTGTTCTGACTTGTGTGTGCAATCACTCGTCTTTGATGGAGAAGATGTTTATCGCAGCGGCCCGGGGCACGAGCAGCTCATCCGTGTCCATTCATGTGTGGCCTCCTGTCAGCTGGAGCGACCAACAAAAGTGCTCCTCATGGGTGGCTGCAGTTTAGCAGAGCTCGCCGTTTTCACAGTATGAAGTTTATGTTGCACAATTTTGTCAGGCACAAACGATGTTACTTTTCAAACATGTTATAGCATAAAGATGGAGGTAGTATAATAGACTTTCATCTTGAAAGTGCGTCCGCTGGATCTCTGTACAGGTGAAACACACCTGTGGAGAAATTATCTGGCCTATCGTTGAATACGCTGCGTTGAATGCCATGTTATGATTTGCTCGGGGATGACAGGTGCTCAACACAAGGGAATGCTTGTCTGTGCGTATCAAACCTTATCTCACTTTGCTTTGATGTTAGTCACAGAAAGTGATGCCATCTGCTGCTGTGACTGTGTGTGGTCAGATTCAAATGTGCCGGCAATTTAAAATGCTCAGACTTTATTATGTTTGATTTCTTGGTAGTCATAAAATGGCATTTTGAAAAATTAAAACATACATACAGGCAAAACTAAATAATACCCATGTGAGGTTTTATGAAGTATAACAATCAGACTGTGCTAGAAATTCAGCATTATTTATAAAAGCTTATCTTAATTTCCTTTCATGCAAAGTGAATGAAAGTGATGTCATCTGTGGCGGTGAGAGTGTTGTTAGATACAAATGAGCCGGTGCTTCAAAATGCTGAAACTTCCTTATGTTTTTAAAAGAAACAGCAAAAGATGTTCACCAATAATGAAAACCATATTTAATAATGTTATATATGTTAATAAAGTTAATATATTAATATACATTAATATATATATATTATATATTATATAATATATAATATATATTAATACGTTTTGGGTTCATGTTTGGATTTTGCAGCTAGAATATATGGGGGATTTTTAGCATTGTCTGTATATTTTGTCTCCTGAATAAACTTGTTTATTAAAAAATAAATAAATAAATAATAATAATGTTTAATATAAATTACTAAAAAATTCTGAGCAATAATTATAACTGCTAATGAACACATTTGGTGTTTAATTCAGCCACAAAATATAATTTATAAAAATACAAATTCATCACAAATATAAATTATTTTCAAATATATTAAAAAACAAAGTATTTATTTTAATAATTTTACAAACAGTTTTCTTAACATTGCTGTAGATTTACTAAATAAATTTGACAAAAAATAGATTATTAATATTAATAATAATATTCTTAATAATAATAATAATAAGGGCGAAGCAGTGGCGATGCAGGTCCTGCGTTCGCGTGGGTTTCCTCCGGGTGCTCCGGTTTCCCCCACAGTCCAAAGACATGCGGTACAGGTGAAGTGGGTAGGCTAAATTGTCTGTAGTGTATGAGTGTGTGTATTTGTCTGTATGTGTTTGTGTGTGTGTGTGGATGTTTCCCAGAGATGGGTTGCTGCTGGAAGGGCATCCGCTGCGTAATAACGTGCTGGATAAGTTGGCGGTTCACTCCGCTGTGGCGATCCCGGATTAATAAAGGGACTAAGCCGTCAAGAAAATGAATAAATAAATAATAATAATAATAGTAATAATAATAATAATGTCAAACATTTAACCAGTAGTGTATATGTAAGGAATAATTGATGATAAGCTGTTTTATTATTAGATAAACAATTGAACTAGTTCACGTCCTGGCTGCAGCTCCACTTTGGGAGTGCATTATTTTCTAATAATTCAATGGACTAAAGTAATTTTTAAAATTTTTTTTTTTATTGTTTGTCATTTATTAATCATTTATTTTTTATTTGTGTCCTTAAAGATATTGGTCAAGTTTTTGTCTGTGGTCAAAACTGCTCCTGTGCGTAGAAATAATTTCTTATGTTGGGTTAACAACCTACGAGTACACGTGCATTGCATCACTTGCTCTAGTTTACTCACAGGGTGTTTTTCACCTCATATTAATTTTATGCCCAAGTTTAATTTTTATAACGTGTGTAAAGGCTGATGTATAATAAGCGCACGTGTACAGTATGGACTGGCCGAGCCTTTGCGCAGTCACATAGCCCTTGTCGGGGTTGACGCTGACACGCATAAGCTCAGTGACACAAAAAACAAAAACTGTCGCAACTTACAGTTCATGCAGGCTTTAACTATTTTTCCAGGACAGATTCCTTTACTGCAGTAATTTACATTTTAAAATAGTAAAAAAGCATTTTTAATGGTATAAAAACATTTGTCGCAAATGCATGGGGGTTTGTTTGGATTTGTTTTTTTACAGTTGTAGGCTGTGAAATAAAGAAAATCATTCGTTGCAGTGATTTGGAACTGAAATGCAGTGTTAATCTTAACAGCAAATTTTTATTTAGTTTTACTTGACTAAAATATATTTGATTTAGTTTAAGTGTAACTTAATTAAATATTGTATACATTTATTCATACAAAATAGACTTAAAATTAAATAAAACAGTCTCATTGAAATATGGATTATAGCTTTTCCATTGAAGACCAAACATTAGATATGCGTTGTGTATTTTTATCATAAGTAATATGTAAAATTATGCGTTAGCAATCAATCCACATAACAGAACATAGCCATCTGAAAATGCAGGAGTGTGCAATTATTTAGCAAAAGCCTTTATTTTAACGTGGTAAAACGTTAATCGTCTGTTGAATAGTTTCAAGCCATTAAATCTTTTAAAGGGCCTAAAATACTTTAAGTCCCCTTTGCAATTTCAGTCTATAGTGAAGGCTTCTGCTGATGAAACTGCAAACTATCTTCAGTAAACTTTATTTATTTATTTGAAACGACTCCGGCTCTTCTTCATCTGACAGACTGGTCATTCTTTTGGTTAAAACTGTATACAATCACTACAATCCGATTCCTTCAATAGCAAGCTTTACTGTTGTAGTTGGTGTTACAGTACATGGTGCTCAGCTGTATAGCTCGAGTAAACAAGTAGAGTAATGATATATGACTGGCAAATGATCATGTGTTATCTTGTAAAATGTGCAATCAGTCCCATAGCTGTGTTAACTCACATAGAGAAGTTATAAAGCGATAATATGCGTAAAAAAATAAATGTGTGCTTCAAAGCAATTTTGTAATCTTGCATGTTAAATGCGAGTCCTTGAAAGCAAAGATTATTGCATTACAGTATTATTACATCCATCCAGTATCCAGTACATCCAGTATCAATACAGATGTAAGAAATAATCACATCGATGAATAAAATCCTCAATAAATTGTTTTGTGGTAGAGGTAAAGAATTCTAAATAATTTTTATTTATTTTTTGCCGGTAGAAACTTGTTCTTCAGGAAAGTTTTGATGATTTTTCGTCAACGAAACTAACACTGCTGTAATGTGATTATAAAACTATTGAAACTACTTCAGCTGTGCATTCATCTAAAATTAATTGCACACCAAGAATGAATCAGCCAATCAGAACCAAGCATTCAATTGCCCCACAGTATAAACATACAGTTAAAGTCAGAATTATTAGCCCCCTTCAATTTTTTTCTTCTTTTTTTTTTTTTTAAATATTTTCCAAATGATGTTCAACAGAGCAAGGAAATTTTCACTGTATGTCTGATAATATTTTTTCTTCTGGAGAAAGTCTTATTTGTTTTATTTTGACTAGAATAAAAGCAATTTTAAATTTTTTAAACACAATTTTAGGGACAAAATTATTAGCCCCTTTAAGCAATATTTTTTCTCAATAATCTACAGAGCAAACCACTTGCCTATAATTACTCTTACCTGCCTAGATAACCTAATTAACCCAGTTAAGCCTTTAAATGTCACTTCAAGCTGTATAGAAGTGTCTTGAAAAATATTTAGTAAAATATTATTTACAGTCATCATGGTAAAGATAAAATAAATCAGTTATTAGAAATGAGTTATTAAAATTATTACGTTTAGAAATGTGTTGATAAAATCTTCTCTCTGTTAAACAGAAATTGGGGAAAAAATAAACAAGCAGTCTAATAATTTAGGGGGGCTAATAATTCTGACTTCCAACTGTATGTTCTACTGAGATTCATTTAGATTTAACTATGCAAATGTGAATTGTGTATTTTCTAACTCATGCACTGCAGGTTTCGAACTGCTCCTAATGTTACACTGAGCTTTAATGAAGCAAAACACTCTGTGCAAGAAACCCAACATTATTTATCAAACCTCATCTTAATTTCTTTTGACTTCCAGTGAAAGAAAGTAATGCCATCTGCCGATTTGATCATGTGTGGTCAGATTCCAATGGGCCGGCGCTTGAAAATGCTCAGACTTTCTACTGTTTTGATTGTGTGCGAATCTTCGGGTTGAAAAGACCTTAATGCTGCTGTTTGATCTTCACTGGCGTTCGTGAGTTGGAGCACATTTCAATCTAACATCTCAGAGTCGGATACTTGAATGCTTTGTGTATTGTGAATGAAACAGGAGAAACGTTATCTCCATACCTTTTCATAGCGTGTCTCCATGCACAGGAAGATGAAGTAGGCCGTAGCACAAGCCAGGCAGCTTTCCAGATAGGACTGACCGCTGATCTTTTCTGCCTCGGCGTAATAGCAGTTGAGCGTCTTCACTGTTTCTTCAAACAGGCTCCTCTCGATCTGCACACAGTGTTGAGTTTAGGCCAGCGATGATTTCTTTTGCAAGTGTTTGTGACCCTGGACCATAAAGTCTCATATTGAATGAAAATATTTTGGCTATAAAAAATATATAAAAATATAAAATATAAAAAATTGTATATAGGTATCAGAACTATTTAATTTTTTCTTTTCTTTTATGGCAAAATCATTACAATATTAAGTAAAGATCATGTTTCATGAAGATATGTAGTACATTTCCAGCTGTATATATATTAAAATTAAATTAGTAAGATGCATTGCTTAACTATGCAAGAACTTAATTTGCAGAATTTTTTTAAACCCTCAGATTCCAGATTTTCAAATAATTTTTTTCATATCCATACATGTATACATCTCAATTTCCCATAATTGACACTCATTTTTAATGGTTTTGTGGTCCAAGGTTGTATTTTTTGCATGATTACAAAATAATTAACACATGTAGAAAAAAAAAATATATAAAAAATGTAATGAATGCAATGCATGTTGATAAAAGGTTGGTTTATTATGCTTAGAGAGGCTGCATCAACCTTTTATCATTGTTGCACTGTGCACCACTACAGTACATTTTACTAAAGATTACCAAATAACTCATCTCCTTTAAGGTTAAGGCAACCAGTCAGCGAGAATTGCAATGCATTAAAGTGATAGTTAACCCCAAAATTGGTCAAATTAAAAACTACTGTCAATTTACCCTCAGATCATCAACAATTTTGTTACAGACATATTGTTACAGTTACACATGTCGTCCACAATACTCTAGCATCTTCAACCTGTGAAAATTGAGCGTTTAGTATATATATATATATATATATATATATATATATATATATATATATATATATATATATATATATATATATATATATATATATATATATATTTTGTCTTTCATTGTGTATATTTTTTGTATTTGTATTATTGGAGCCAGTGTATTTGTTTGGAAAGTTTGGTGTTCTGTTTCACTATAGACCAGGGTTCACCAATCTTGTTCCTGGAGGTCCGGTGCCTTACAGGGTTTAGCTCCAACTTGCCTCAACACACCTGCCTGGGTTTTTTAAGTATACCCAGTAAGGTCTTGATTAGCTTGTTCAGGTGTTTGATTAGGGTTGTTTAGTTTGTCTAATGTTTTGTTTTTCACAGACCAATTATTTCATTTTATAAGACCTTCAATGCATCACCCGGAGCCACAGAAGTTGTTTTATTTTGCCTGTATATGTATTTTTGACTCTCAAAGTGCCAGTATCTTAGTAAAGTAAAGACTCTCAAAGTAAAGTATATCTTAGATGGCTTGAGTGTAAGTCATTTATAGTAAATTTAAAATTTTTGGTGAAAATTAAAATGTGTACTCTGCTTATTTTTGTTATTATATAGTATAGTGCTTGTTATAAACTATGTACCTGTGCACTTTAAAATTAAATTAGTGAACTATTTGCCCATGTAATCTTTATCAAATACCTTAGCTGTCACACCCCACTCAAAATAACTTTTCTTCTGTTCTAGTCACATGGAACACCTTTAGGGTGAAACTTTAGTACTGGACAAACTGGTAACAGCAGAAAAGCCGTCCATACGGAAGTAAACTGGTAAGCGTGAAAAGGAGCAGCACCATACCGCCCCGTAGCATTCATTTTAAAGTCGAAATGCAGCCATACAAACTACTGGCTACATAATTTGCGATCTCCATAAATGTATGCTTTGTATGTATGTTTTCAGAATGAGCCTGTGTTGCAGTTCTGACTTCAACTGCATATAGTATTTTTCTATAGACCTTTTTCTTGAAACGCAAATTTACCCATTATGCTTTGCGTGTATGCACAAGGAGAATGCGAAGAACTTCCGGTCGGCAGCTGATGCGTGTAAACAGTCACATTTGGACAGCTTTGAAATGATAGTTTTAATCTATTTTACCTGCTTTTATCCTCTTTGAACTAATACTGTTGTCCATCAGCACCATCTCCTGGACTGATCATTTAAAGAAATGCGATCTAATAGGATGGAAAACAGCTGCTGTGAGGCATTTTCCCCTCGTTGTCAGGCGGCATCTTCTGCAGTTTAAATGAAGCCTTGTCATCGCTAAAGTCAACATTTTCTCTTTATTTCAAATATATAACCAGCCCAAACAAATGTAACTCACTAAAATGTTTGACACACACACGGAGCCTGTTCAGTGCCACTGACACACTGATTTAATAACTGTGACAAAGTGAAAATATAGGCTAGTGTCATTTCGAAATGACAGAAAAACACAAACCTTGGTGAATACAACACACAAAATAAAACACAAACGGCTCGCGATAAGAATGAACAGCAAATCAGCCAGCAGAGTATCAATAGCAGACATTTATTGGTCATTTTTGTAAATTGTACGACTTTCATACCTGTTAAGTTTCATGCCAGTACTCTGGTTTGCTCTCTCTCTCTCTCTCTCTCTCTCTCTCTCTCTCTCTCTCTCTCTCTCTTTCTCTCTCTCTCTCTCTCTCTCTCTTTCTCTTTCTCTCTCTCTCTCTCTCTCTCTCTCTCTCTCTCTATGTGTGCGTGTGTGTGTGTGTGTTAAAGGTTCAGGACACCCTGGATAACTTTTTTTTTTTATATTAACAGATTTGTGTGTGTTGAGCATCAGTTAAGACAATGTTAGCACCTGTCAGCTTTAATTGTGGGGAAAACTGGATAATTTTGAGCTTTTGTCAGCTAATTTCAGATTCCGGTTTTAAAATGATTTTTGGGGCGGGATCAAAATCGGCGACGTAGCACAGTACTGCAAGTGCAATGATGACGCGTCGGTTTCTCATTATTATTCATAGCGGAGTTTTCTTATCCTATGAGAAGAGCCGGCTGCTTAAAAACCTGCCAGAGTCAAGCCCGAGCTGTGAGACACGTCACGGACACACGGCACGGGCACACAGTATTTAGCCGTTCATAAAGGCTCATATGCTTTTGTTTCCATGATCCACGCGGTTTGTTGCATGTTTTCCCCCGCGATCTTGTCAGGGCCGATCATACAGCAAAGCTGTGTGTGTGCTGCTAGCATTTTTGTCGGGAGAGCAGCACGAGAATTAGAGAATGGCGGATGCTGTCTTTTATCAGGAGTTCATTCACATTCAGACACATCGCCGTGCTGCTGTGTTTGCATAAATCCTCCAGATTACCAGCAGGGCTAATGGTTAAAATAGACAGGTCAGGAGACCTGCTGCACTGAGTCTGCTGGATACGGGGATTGAGGGAGAAGTCCCCATTTATACGGTTTACATGAACACACTTATCTTTATAATTATATAAATTGTGGTTGTGTATATGAAATTACGAAAAACAAATGTAGCAGGGCATTAAATCACTATTTATTTCTTTGCATTTTAACTTTGTAAACTATAAACTCATGTTTCTCCTCACGGTTTGTCTCATTTTGTGAGCTAGCTTCGTTCGCTCACGGTCTCCCCTGATGGCCACGCCCACTCCTGCCCGATGCTCGCGGAGCTCCACGCCCATTAATCATGTCATGGCCCTTTAAAGAGCCGCTGAGCTAACAGCTGACAGGCCGGGAACGCGCACACACACACTGTATTTCTTACGGCAGACACGTGATCTAGGAGAACGTTTTTCTCGGATATCTGACGCGCTTGAACCACATGTGACATATTAAAACGGCTTTAACAGACACCTTTCTAAATTGTGTGTCACAAAAACACTCTGTTATCCATTAAAAACGTTATTGAAACTCATTTTCGGAGCACAAATTACCAGTTGTACACGCTGTAAACGGAACTTTTTAGCATTCTACCAGAAGACGCTGGTCGCTATGGTGCCCTCCATGCAGCAGCCATGAAAAAGGTCTATGTTTCAGTAAAAATATATTAACAAAGAACAATTCTGAAAATGCACTAATTTAAATTAGTGCCCACATAAATAAAGATATAAAGTGTCATCTGAAGCTCACCCTGCTGTCCAGCTCTGTGGGGAACTTGGTCTGGAATTTGCAGATGGTGCCATCACTGTAATCTCTCTGAATGAAGACCTTGGTGGCCAGAGACGCAGTGTGACGCAGCTCCTGAAGGTTGTGGAACTGCAGAAAGACACAAAACGCATCAGCCTTGAACACCCTTCTGAAACTTTAAATGACAAATGATGTAGTCGTCAGGTCACTGATACCACTAGATCCTGCGTGTGCATCATTTGAAACATTTTTCACTGAAATTATTTCTCGCGCAGTTAAATTATTGTGCATATGTGGATAAGAATTCGTGATCTGACACTTAATATGGAGAGGGTCCTGAGAGTGTGACATTGTGTCAATTAATTCAATGAGTTACGGTTTCCACGTCTTCCAAGAAACACAGAAATCTGACAAAATATGAAATGATAGAGACTGGCCTCGCTTCAAGAGTCTATCAGAATGAAAAACAGACAGGGGGCCTTTGAGGTAATAATATTTAAAAATATGAAGGAATATGAATGCGTGTTTATAAAATCTGGGCCAGGAAGAAGACAGAGCATCAGTCAAAATAGAAAAAGAAGCACTCAACGAGTTGTTTTAGGACTTTTAAGTGTAAAAACAATCTTGAAAAAGCCGTATTAGAGAGCCAAGAGAGAGAATGAAAGCTGATAAATTTAAGACATGAAACTAGTCCTAATGGCTATTTGCTGTGTCCTATTTCTCCTAAATTTTCTAATTCACAGCATACATTCAGTCAGATCTATTCCAGGATTGTGTCCGTTTACAATGGCTTCAGGCAATATAATATGTTTCATACATTTAATTATTAAGTTATATTAACAACTGATTATTTAGTAAGAGCAGACTTTCTTCCTAATGCACTGTAAGCAATGCATCAGTTTCTTTCTTCTGAGACCTTGTTTCCCCCTTGTAAACAAATCTGTGTTTTATCAGATCAAGATATAAGACGCGGCTCACAGCTTTATTTTCTGCAAAAATTAATTGGCCTCACAGTTGCGGTCTCATTAGTGTAATTGCTGAAAGCTTTGATGCCAAAAATAAGTCTATTGTTAATTCTCTCTACTGCCAACAGAGGAAAGTTACTATGTAAAGACATGGCTGAAATATACAGAAAGAAGATGTGAAATAAATTCTGATTTAAAGATTTATTCAACCAGCATTTTTTTTTTTTACCTGAAATGACAGGTTTCTTCCAAAAGATAATAACATGATGTACAAGAGGTATGTGTATATGTCTAATGTTTCTTTAAGAAAGCAATAAGATTGTGGAAAGAAATATAAACGTATATTAAACAAATTATTTTAATTATTATTAGCTAAAACTTTAACTAAAATGTTAGCTTTTTTAACTTTCAAATTATAGAGCTGAAGCATTTATTTTTTATTTTGTTTTAACAAAAAAAGTCTAACTAAAAGTAAAAAAAAGTGATAATGAAATTGGTAAATATGCAAATACAAACCAACAACTGGAGAAGTCATGTAAATGTATTCAAAAATATACAAGTACATTGAATGTATAAAATGTAATTATTTGATTTTTAATGATTTTTTATTTTGGTTTTAATATTTATTTTGTTTTTAAATCACACAACAAAATGACTAAAATGTTAAGTACAATGTAAAATGTTAAATATAAATATACAAACCAACAACTGGAAAAGTTAAATGTATGAGAAAATATACAGGTAAATTCTTACAAGTATAAAATGAAATAATGGAAATGTAATTTATTTTAATGAACTATTTAAATATACCATGATATTTAGCTTTCAAAAAATTAAATAAACAAATAGTTTGGGAAAAAACACTAGCAATTTAATTTGTCTGGAAGACCTTCATATATTTTATTTGGAATCAAAAAGGTTTCAGAAAGAATATCAATAAAAATTATAAAGTATGTAATTTTTAATTTAGAATTTTCTTCTGAAAATGACTGATTGTTTATTTATATGAGACCCTTGTCTGTAAAATGAGTTTGTCTGGATGACTTTGAAGGTGCATTAATATGAATTTCGTATACTCTCTCTCTCTCTCTCTCTCTTGCAGATTTTTTCAACGCATTTCTAAACATATAAGTTTAATAACTCATTGCTAATAACTGATTTATTTTATCTTTGCCATGATGACAGTAAATAATATTTGACTAGATATTTTTCAAGACACTTCTATACAGCTTAAAGTGACATTTAAAGGCTTAACTAGGTTAATTAGGTTAACTAGGCAGGTTAGGGTAATTAAGCAAGTTATTGTATAGCAATCCTTTGTTCTGTAGACTATCGAGAAAAGATATAGCTTAAAGGGGCTAATGATTTTGATCTTAAAATAGTAATTAAAAAAATAAAAACTGGTTTTATTCTAGACGAAAAAAACAAATAATAATTTTTTTAGAAGAAAAAATATTATCAGACATACTGTAAAAATGTCCTTGCTCTGTTAAACATTATTTGGGAAATATTTGAAAAGAAAACAAATTCAAAGTTATATATAATAACTTGACTTCTAGTTAATCATTTGGTATCAGAAGTGGCTTAAATGAAAGGCAAAGGGCTCTAGATTACGCTTGTTTTACCAAAATAAAATATGATCATGCCTTGATTTTTAATTATTTAATTAGGACAGTAAGGTCAGACTTTGCTTAGACAAAAATCTTGTCACTTAACAGAAATAATGTACAGTATAGAATATAAAGTCATGGTGCAGTGGAGAAAGAATGAATATTGTGTATGGCTCCCATAAACTTGGAGGACTGCATTCATACATCTCTGCAATGACTCAAATAACTTATTAATAAAGTCATCTGGAATGGTAAAGAAAGTGTTTTTGCAGGACTCCCAGAGTTCATCAAGATTCTTTGAATTTATCTTCAATGCCTCCTCCTTAATCTTACCCCAGAAATGCTCAATAATGTTTAAGTCTGGTGACTGGGCTGGCCAATCCTGGAACACCTTGACCTTCTTTGCTTTCAGGAACTTGATGTGGAGGCTGAAGTTATACTGATGAGCTATATTGCTGAAGAATTTGCCCTCTCCTGTTGTTTGTAATCTAATGGGCAGCACAAATGTCTTGATTCCTCAGGCTGTTGATGTTGCCATCCACTCTGCAGATCTTTCTCATGCCACACACTGAATGTAACCCCAAACAATGACTTTTTACTCTACCAAACTTTTTAGTAAGAATCTTGGGTCCATGCATGTTAAAATAGGTCTTCTGCAGTATTTGTGATGATTGGAATTGCAGATGATTGCAGTTCAACTGATGATCTACTGTACCTTCTGTCATTTTTTTTAAATGATCAACTAGAAGTCAAGTTATTAATTTTTGCTCTTACAACTAGGATCGACGACAAGTCTTTTGTCATGTAGTGTTTATGTAAAACATCTTGAGCCTTGTTAACTTGAATTAGACAAAGAAAAATACTGGAAATTTTTCTTGCACAAAACTTAATTTCCTTTTAACTGATAAAAGTCTTTTACATTATATAAGACCGACCTCTGAACAGTATTTCATTCATATATAGCGATAAATCCAGCTACATGTTGTCATTACGACTTCACACAGTCTAGCGCTGGAACAAATACAAAGAAAACCCGAATTAGCAAGCAAAGCTTCATAAAGACGGACGTGAATGATAATTAGTCTTCACTGTTGCCACAGCACACAAAGCTTCTAAGTCCACGCCAATGAGACGAGCCTAATTATCCCAGCGTTCCTCCACAGAGACGTCGCTCACAGAGACTCAGGTTGAGGACGCTCATAATAACTCAAATCCCACAGCAGCTGTTAGCATAACCACAAGCAGCAAGTGGCTTATCTGGCCACCTGCCTGTCCGCAGTTAGATTTCTCCCAGAAGATATGATTAATTATTCACACTTCAGGAGGTCATTTAAACTGTTATCTGCAAATTGAAGGAGAGAAGTCATACTTGTGACGTATTCAAAATCGGCCTCAATCACTATTCCCTACATTAGTCCACTTGAAATAGTGAATGAAATGATAAATCCCCCAGATTTGATTTTCAACTTCTTGATCAGACCCTGTGATAGTTATTTAACAATTATCCAATTCAGTTGTAAAGCACGATTCACAATAATTCATGTTTCAAGCAGCTTTATTAAAGGTATGCGTTATTGCTTTACAATCAAATTCAGAAAAGTTAAACTTATTAGTTACCATAACTTTATCAGTTACTAATAACCTTAACTCCAGACTTCCCTCTCCTCAGACACTTCCTCTAGCTTGTCCAGGGGGATACCGAGGCATTCCCAGGCCAGCTGAGAGACATAGTCCCTTCAGCATGTCCTGTATTTTTCCCGAGGCCTCCTCCTGTTTGGACATGCCTGGAACACCTCCCTAGGAAGGCGTCCAGGAGGCATCTGAAACGAATGCCTGAGCCACCTCAGCTGACTTCTCTTGATGTGGAGGAGCAGCGGCTCTACTTCGGGCTTCTCCCGGGTGACTACGTAGCTTTTTAAGGAGGAGCTACACTATGCCCCACTCTTTCTTTGTGTTTTAGTTGAGATTACGTCAAACATTGAATAAAAATGCACATTTCAAAGCACTTCACAGAATCCTCAATGTAGTTTTAAGCTGACATTGTGTTTGATGACTGTTTAAGAGTTTAGGTGCTAGACCAGAAAAGGGTCTATCACCTACTGTTGATTTTGACATTCTAAAAAACCATTAGGGATTTAAAATAATCAACTGGAATTTAAAACGTATCCATTGATGATGGCGAGCAATGCTGAAATGTTGACACAATGGGGGTTAATATGATTATACTTAACAGAGACAGCTGATTGGTCATGTGGGTGTAATGTCTACTACATCAGAGCACTCATTAAAACCACCTCAAGCAAGTGTAATTGTTTTTGTTTTGCAATTTAAAGGGCACCTATGAGGAAAATCAACTTTTGTAAGCTGTTTAGACAGAACTGTGTGTAGGTATAGTGTGTCCATTGTCATATAAGAGTAATAGAAACCCAACAAGTCTCTTTTTTAAATTTTCTGATGCTAAAATAGGATCCAAATCCCAATGATTTTGAAATCCACCGCAACGTGATGTTGGAGTACGGTTTTCAACGCAATTTTTTTGCAAATGAAGTGGGAT